AAAAACCTACAACAACTCATTACAAATATTGTGTAGAAAATTACCCCCAGGCTCTTTGTAGGTGAGTTTAAAACATCAATGAATTTAGACTTGGGTCCCATCTTAAAGATATCTCATGATATGTCTATATGCAAATCCAGGTATTCTGAAATTCTGAAAAAATCCAGAACAGTTCCGGTGCCAGGTGTTTTGGATAAGAGGCACCCAACCTATGAATGGAGGAGCATTCCTGGAATGAAGTGTGTTAATGGGAAAGGTGTGTGTATAAACAGACAGGGCTCTCCTGTCTGGTCTGGTTCAGTTTCCAGTAAGGCACTTGAGTCAATCCAGCTGCTTTTCAATAAGCAAATGCCTCAGCACTTCCTCAGAAAAGTACCTGATCAGGTTTCTTCTCCTTCTGCCTTCTCACCTTCCTGATTGTTGCAACATCATGAAAATTCTGCTTCCTCTACTAGCTTCTAGGGTAGTATAGCCTAGTACAGGTTGAGTATCCCGTATTTGTCTATATGTACATGATGAGGTATCATGGAGATGGTTCCCAAGTCTAGACATGAAAGTCATGTATGCTTCATATACTCCTTATACATATAGCCTGGAGATTAGGACACAAAACAATGGCTTCAAACGACAGGAAAGGAGATTCCACCTGAACGTGAGGAAGAACTTCCCAACCGTGAGAGCTGTTCAGCAGTGGAACTCTCTGCCCTGGAGTGTGATGGAGGCTTCTTCTTCAGAAGCTTTCAAAGTGAGCCTGGATGGCCAACTGTCAGGGATGCTTTGAAGGCAATTTTCCTGCTTTGTGGAAGAATGGGGTTGGATTGGATGGCCCACAAGGTCTCTTTCAACTTTTATGATTCTATGAAATTAACTTATATACAATATTTTTAATAATGTTATGCATGGAACAAAGTTTATGTCCATTGAGCCATCACAGAGCCATTCATGTGGACAATACTGGATTTTGGAGTCTTTTGGAACTCCAGATGAGGGGTGCTCAACCTGCACATTTGTAAGGCACCAGGTAGGTGGAAGGAAGCTAATTTAGAACATCTGAATGCGGTTTTAAAAATACCCTGCTTTGATCTGTTCTGGGGATCATAGCCAAAGAATTCCAGGTTCCACCAAAAATACTAATAAATGTATCCAAAAACAAATCAAGTTTGGAGTCTCCTTAAAAGCCAAAATGGCTAGACTGAGACTGTCATGCTTTAGATATATCATGAGATGACATGACATGCTGGAAAAGACGATATTGCTTGGATGACAGTAAGTAAGTAAGGTTACTGGTGCATGGACTCAATCAAGGAAGCAACGGTTAATTGATGGGTTGTTGTAGGTTTTTTTGGGCCATATGGCCATGTTTTAGAGGCATTCTCTCCTGACGTTTCGCCTGCATCTATGGCAAGCATCCTCAGAGGTAGTGAGGCCTGTTGGAACTAGGAAAAAGGGTTTATATATCTGTGGAATGACCAGGGTGGAGCAAAGAACTCTTGTCTGCTGGAGCTAGGTGTTAATGTTTCAACTGACCACCTTGATTAGCATTTGATGGCCTGGCAGTTGTTTGGTGTGTCTTGTTAGTGCCTGGAGCAATCTTTTGTTGAGAGGTGATTAGATGTCCCTGATTGTTTCCTCTCTGTTGTTTTGCTGTTGTAATTTTAGAGTTTTTTTAATACTGGTAGCCAGATTTTGTTCATTTTCATGGTTTCCTCCTTTCTGTTGAAATTGTCCACATGCTTGTGGATTTCAATGGCTTCTCTGTGTAGTCTGACATGGTGGTTGTTGGAGTGGTCCAGCATTTCTGTGTTCTCAGATAATATGCTGTGTCCAGGCTGGTTCATCAGGTGCTCTGCTATGGCTGACTTCTCTGGTTGAAGTAGTCTGCAGTGCCTTTCATGTTCCTTGATTCGTGTTTGGGCAATGCTGCGTTTGGTGGTCCCTATGGAGACTTGTCCACAGCTGCATGGTACACGGTAGACTCCTGCAGAGGTGAGAGGATCCCTCTTGTCCTTTGCTGAACGTAGCATTTGTTGGATTTTCTTGGTGGGTCTGTAGATAGTTTGTATGTTGTGTTTCCTCATCAGCTTCCCTCTGCGGTCAGTGGTTCCCTTGATGTATGGCAAGAACACTTTTCCTCTGGGTGGATCTTTGTCTTGACTCTCGTGGCCTGTTCTTGGTCTTATAGCTCTTCTGATGTCTGAGGTGGTTAATTGATGTTTGCAGGATTGGAGCAAGGCTGCTAATGACAAGAATTTGAGGGCAAATAACAACAAAGTTCCTAAAGTCAGGCTAAGACAATTTGCATTTTAACAACTTGATATAGTATTTTAGCTCAAAAGGAGAAATCCTTTGTTCTTGTGGTTACAAGCAAAATTCCAGTTTTAGTTCCTGGTGAAGAAAGGAACTTTGGCAGGAAAAACGAAATGCAAAGATATAGAATGGGGGACAATGCCTGGCTCGAGAGCAGTACGTGTGAAAAAGATCTTGGAGTCCTCGTGGACAACAAGTTAAACATGAGCCAACAATGTGATGTGGCGGCAAAAAAAGCCAATGGGATTTTGGCCTGCATCAAGAGGAGCCTAGTGTCTAGATCTAGGGAAGTCATGCTACCCCTCTATTCTGCTCTGGTTAGACCACACCTGGAATATTGTGTCCAATTCTGGGCACCACAACTCAAGAGAGATATTGACAAGCTGGAATGTGTCCAGAGGAGAGCAACTAAAATGATAAAAGGTCTGGAGAACAAGCCCTATGAGGAGCGGCTTAACGAGCTGGGCATGTTTAGCCTGAAGAAGAGAAGGCTGAGAGGAGATATGATGGCCATGTATAAATATGTGAGAGGAAGCCACAGGGACGAAGAAGCAAGCTTGTTTTCTGCTTCCCTGGAGACCTAGGACGCGGAACAATGGGTTCAAACTACAAGAGAGGAGATTCCATCTGAACATGAGGAAGAACTTCCTGACTGTGAGAGCCGTTCAGCAGTGGAACTCTCTGCCCCGGAGTGTGGTGGAGGCTCCTTCTTTGGAAGCTTTTAAACAGAGGCTGGATGGCCATCTGTCAGGGGTGATTTGAATGCAATATTCCTGCTTCTTGGCAGGGGGTTGGACTGGATGGCCCATGAGGTCTCTTCCAACTCTTTGATTCTATGATTCTATGAAAGGAGCAGAGGCATTAATGCGAATGGTAGCATTGGGGCTGCTTCTATTGTTGTTAATATTAGTAACTTGAAACAGGTATTCTAGTTCATCTGGGCTTCTTGCTTTCACAGAACAATAGAGGAAAAGAATTAAAAGATAACTAGAAGACAAATTTGAACGACACACAAAATGAAGAGCGGTTCTATTCTGTTGTATAAATTTGTGACTCAAGTGGACAAAGAGAATCCATTTTTTAAATTGACTGTACATTTTCAAGGCGGAGAGTGAAGCAAGAGATGGTGGCTCCTCTCCTCGACTTTTCTAAAATAGTTATCCTAAATTAGGTTCTTGTGGGTTTTTTCGGGCTATAGAGCCATGTTCTAGAGGCATTTCTCCTCACCACCTCCGAGGATGCTTGCCATAGATGCAGGCGAAACGTCAGGAGAAATGCCTCTAGAACATGGCTCTATAGCCCGAAAAAACCCACAAGAACCTAGTGATTCCAGCCATGAAAGCCTTCGACAATTATCCTAAATGTCTTAGAATTAGGACGTTTGAGCAGAGCATAAGCCTGGATCGCTTTGAATTCCTGCTGCCCTTTGCAGTAATTGAATAAAAGTGCGTTAGTACTCAAGGACTTTGTTACAACTGCTCTCGAGATTGAAAGACTTCAAGTTGATCCCTAAGTGACCGTGTAGGTTGCTAGCAGTTCCCTTTCCACCCTGGGGCTAAGGACAACTCCATGCAATTACCAGAATAGATGTTTTTTGGGTCTGATGGATGAGCAAACGGATACTTTGCTAGTGGGTATTCAAGCCCAGTGATTCCACTGGGAAATCTGCTTGCCCAGGGCTATAAACTGAAGAGCCAGGTGAGAAACAATGGTTATGTATACCAGAAGGGTTACCAATGACTCCTCTGGTTGCCTGAAACCAGTGGTTCCCAACCTTTTTTTTTGACCAGGGACCACTCTCCAACATTAGTACCAAAAGTACACAAGTGACTCTTTTGAAGCTGTTAGCCATTCAGTAGTACCCACACTTGTGACATTCAGGTTTCACTCCACAATAAACTTTATTTTGACTGGTTTGAATACCAGCCATATCTTCTGCAAAGTGAGGAAGTTGATTGTAGAGCGGAAATATATCTGCGTGACAGTAAATCGACTGTCTGTTGAGCTTAGCATCCCTAAACCTAGTGTAACATGCAAATATTACTGGTCTTTTGGCTTACATCTTTCTGTTTTCTGGAAGGAATATTCTTTTCTCCCTTTCCTTTGAGTATATATGACTATTTTCCCCGAGCCTTTTGAAAAAGAGCAGTTGGGCCCTGGTGGAAGGCTATCTTCTTGCAAGGTGCGGTTTGGGTTTCTAGGCAAACTATGCATTTTATAACCTTGCATAACATTCTTGAAAGGAAATTAAATATTTTAATGAATGGGAGTCTTTAAAGGGGAACTATTTATGTAATGCGAAAAGCGAAGTTGACCCCAATGTAAAAAATGCCAGGAAATTCAAACGCTTTAATTTGCATTTAATAAATAGAGTGTGTTTTCCACCATTTTGTTTATTATGGCTGCCGTGGATGTTCTTGTAAATTTTGGGGTTTATTTTGATTTTAGCAGATGTTCACAATGGAAGTTGACCATATATCTGTTCCCTATTGCGGCCTGGAGGGGATTCTGAAATGCTGCGATTTGTTCCACGGTCGTTCTGACATAACGGGTTTTTGCTGCTTTCTGCCTGGGCCAGCACTCAAAACTGGTCCTTGGGAATGCCAGAAGGGGACAGGAAAGGTCTGCAACGAGGGAGGAAAGGATCTTGGAGCATTTGCAGAGGGTGTTATTTATGCTTGTGTGTTCCACAGGGAAGGATTCGGAGGCTTGCAGCACCTGCCCTGGGAAGCAAGACGACGCCTCCAAGGCAAATGATCCAGACCAGATTCAGAAGACTGCCAAGGTAGTATCCTGTGTCGTCAAAGAGGGCACATGTTCACTTCCATCCCCCAAATGTAGTTTTTCAAACTTTCATGACACTTCAAGCTGTGAGTTGCTTAGGGAGACATTAGAATTGGAAGAGACCCCAAGGGCCATTCAGTCCCACCCCATTCTACCATGCAAGAAACACAATTAAAGCACTCCCAACAGATGGCCACCCAGCCCTTCACATCCCTCATGGTCTTGAGCTGCTCTGAGAGATTGGTTGTTCTCTCTAGTCCTACAGCTGGACCATCACAAAGGGCTTATAGTTCAGTGTAGACAACACAAGTGCAGTATGAAGGCAGCTCAGGTCCCTGACCACTGCCCCTTTGTGCATGGCAGAATGAATCCTAGAATCATAAGGTTGGGAGACCCCAAGGGCCATCCAGTCCAACCCCATTCTTGCATGCTGTAAAACACAACCAAAGCAATGTATTGTCGAAGGCTTTCATGGCCGGAATCACTGGGTTGTTGTAGGTTTTTTCGGGCTATATAGCCATGGTCTAGAGGCATTCTCTCCTGATGTTTCGCCTGCATCTATGGCAAGCATCCTCAGAGGTAGTGAGACCTCACCACCTCTGAGGATGCTTGCCATAGATGCAGGCGAAACGTCAGGAGAGAATGCCTCTAGACCATGGCCATATAGCCCATAAAAACCTACAACAACACAACCAAAGCACTCCCATCCACTCTCTGCTTACAAACCTCCAGAGAAGAAGATTCAACTGGACTCCCAGACAGCATCTACCAAAACAGCTCTGACTGTCAGTATGTTCCTTCTAATATTTAGGTGAAATCCCTTTTCCTACAGTGTGAAACCATGGCTCCAGAAAAGCATAAAACAAGCTTGCCAGCTCCTCAGTATGACATCCTTTCTAATATTTCAACATGGCAGTCACGTCCCTTCTCAGTGTTCTTTTCTCCAAGCTAAACTTGCCAAGCTAAAGCACTCCTCATTGGAGCCCATGGGTTTTGTGACTGTAGAAAGCATCCCAAGGTCTGCTTTCTTGCTCACTTGTGTGAAATGCTTTAAGGCACTCAGTTGTGACTTTTATGGCTCTTCCAGGTGGTCTACATCTTGGAGAAGAAGCATTCCAGGGTTGCAACGGGCTTCATCCGGCTCTTGACTGACCGCAACAGTGAACGGTTCAAGAAGTGCGCCATGTTTTCACCTGTGGACCATAGAGTGCCTCGTGCATACGTGGCTTTGGCTGACTGCCCACCCGATTTTCCCACCAGGCCTGAGGACTACGCCAACACTCTCTTCATCTGCCGTATCGTGGACTGGAGAGAGGATAGCAATTTTGCCCTCGGGTATGTGGCTGCTGGGGGCAGAATGAGGGGCCCCAGGTTTTGACTGTGCCTCTTCAGCAGTGGTTCTCAACCTGGGATCCCCAGTTGTTTTTGGCCTTCAACTCCCAGAAATCCTAACAGCTGGTAAACTGGCTTGGATTTCTGGGAGTTGTAGGCCAAAAACATCTGGGGACCCCAGGTTGAGAACCACGGCTCTACAGTGTTCTTGTTGACGTTTCTGCTGCCCACCTTGTGGGAACAGAAAAGGTGGAGATGGTTTCACGTTGGGTTGGTTTCAAGGAACTATGGAGACTTCCCATGCAATCCGCTGTGGTTTGCAACTGTGGCTATGAAATGAAGAACTTTATTTGTAATGCCCCTGCTTTACATGCAGTTCGCTTTCAATTGTATCTGAGTGAAGATTGGCTCACCCTGCTGACAAGGATAGTCTCTGGAGTTGCTCTCCCTTGTGAACAAGGCTTTTCTTGGCAAGAAGTGGCTTTTCTCTTATTTGATGTTGAACCATTCCCTCCCTTTTTCCAACTGAGTTGGAAATGTGGGGCTGGTGTTTGTCTGTGTGTCCTTTCATGGTGTCACCAGCCACTTTAGGAGATGTAATGAAGGTAGAGAGGCTCTGCGTTTCAATCATGTACCCATTAAAACACCAGCTTGTCCAGGTGAGAGGGAAACCTGGTCCTGTCTCAGAGGTGTGTTTCTAGGGGAGGGGGCTGACTTGTGTGACCCTTGGGTGCCATCTGGTGGTCAACGGAAAGGTGCTTCCTTGATGAACCAGATGGAGTGGTCAACTTATCAGAAGGTTTTGCGTGCCTTGCTTCTCTGGAAAGGGCTAGAAAACATCAGAGGAGGAAAAGGTGATGTGTATATATTTGGAGATAGGTCTTCCAGGTGTTCTTCACCCTTTCTGAGCTGATTTAGGGCAGTTGAGAGTTGAAGCCCAACAACATTTGAAGGGCTGGATGATGTTATGACACTCTGAAACACAAGTTCTGGCTCATCACCACACAAGTTAGAAGTTAAGACTTGAAACTGAAGCTTGGTGACTAGTAATGTCCTCCAGCAGGGACTAGCTGAGAAAGGGGTGTGTATGTTCTCCATATTTTAAGCATCTCTTAGGTGGTGGGTTTAAGGATTGATAATGTTGGTGTGCATGAGGCCCAAGGAATTAGAAATCTAAGGCCTAAAGAGTGTTATTACCAGATGGCTGCTCCAAAATGGTTTTGTTGCTTGGTTGAGTTGGGTGATCTTTTGGGAGCAAGTCAAATGTCTCATGATTGAATTACACTAATACCTACACAGGCTATTAGTTATAAAGGCCTACATAACATTCTGCCATTTTTCAACTAGTAAACATTCTCACTAAACAAAGATGATCAGTGCCTCATGTCAGAAATCCATTTGTCATTGTCTCGCTTGAATGCCTAGAGGGTTACCATCCAAGGTAGAAGGAACTGATCAGTTAAAGCGGTGGTGTCAAACTTGTGGTCTTCCAGGTGTTTTGGATTTTAATTCCCATAACTCCTGGCTATTGGACAAGCTGCCTAGAACTTTTGGGCATTGGAGGCCCAAACATCTGGAGGACCACAAGTTTCACACCTCTGAGTTAGAGTGATTCGTACAGAGGTACTCATACAATCAAACTGAGTCTCAGGATTTCTTTGGTGCAGCTCTTTCTTGAGCTGGATGGACAGTGATATCATCCTTAGGCAGCACATGGCCCACAGATAGAAAGTTGGAGTGGTTTCATGTAGAGATCTTGGGCTAATTTGGATGCAGAGAATGGCTTTCTTGCAACTCCAGAACATCATTCATTAACCACAGTTTTCATAGTGTTAGAAGAGGGGGGGGGGGGGGAATCAAATCCAACCTCAATTTTCCATTTAGGAAGACATAATCAGAGACCTCCCAACAGATGTCCATCCAACTTCTGTTTCAAAAACTCCAGAGAAAGAGACTCCACTGGACTCCCAGGCAACAGCATATCCCACTGTCAAACAGATATTACCTTTAGGAAGTTCTTCCTAGTGTTTTGGTGGAATCTCGTTTCCTGTAATTCCAAAGCAGTGGAAAACAAGGTTGACCCTCAATGTGACATCCTTTCCAATATTTGTGCATGGCTGTCATGTCTCCCCTCAGCCTCCTTTTTTCCAGACTATACACCCCCAGATCTCTAAGCTGCTCCTTAGGGGGATTTGTGGCTTTCAGACTTTTGACCATTTTGGTTGCCCTTCTTTGGACACGTTCCAGCTTGTTCATATCCTTCTTGAATTTTGGTGCCTGGAACCAGACACAGTCTTCTTGGTGATGTTTGACCACAGTGGAAGAGAGTGGTATTATTACTTCCTTTGATGTAGAGCAGTGGTTCTCAACCTGGGGTCCCCAGATGTTTTTGGCCTACAACTCCCAGAAACCACAGCCAGTTTACCAGCTGTTAGGATTTCTGGGAGTTGAAGGCCAAAAACATCTGGGAACCAATGATGTAGAGACACTATAACAAGCATCCTCAAACTCGGCCCATCCAGATGTTTGGGCCTATAGCTCCCAGAAGCCCTAGCCAACTTGTTCAGTGGTCAGGAATTCTGGAGGGCCAGAGTTTGGAGATGCCTGAATGATACTTTTGTTAATGCAGCCTAGAATTGCATTGCTTTTTTAGTTGCTCCATCATTCTGTTGAATCAAATTTAGCTTTTCACTAAAACTCATAGATCCCTCTCAATCAAATTTAGCTTTTCACTAAAACTCATAGATCACTCTCAAAGTTCTGAGAGTGCCTTGGACTGCGAGAAGATCTAACCAGTCCATCCTCCAGGAAATAAAGCCTGGCTGCTCATTGGAGGGAAGGATACTAGAGACAAAGATGAAGTACTTTGGCCACATCATGAGGAGACAGCAAAGCCTAGAGAAGGGAATGATGCTGGGGAAAGTGGAAGGCAAAAGGAAGAGGGGCCAACCAAGGGCAAGATGGATGGATGGCATCCTTGAAGTGACTGGCTTGAGTCTGAAGGAGCTGGGGGTGGTGACGGCTGACAGGGAGCTCTGGCGTGGGCTGGTCCATGAGGTCACGAAGAGTCGGAGACGAATGAACGAATGAACAACAACAACATAGATCCCTTGCACATATCCTCTTATTAAGCCAGTTTAACAGTGTAATGCAGCAGCTCACAACCTGATGCAATAAATTACCCAGCTTGGTCAGGTCCCATTGTTGAGTACACTCTCTTCTTAGTTACAGAGTGTACAGCCATATGCAACTGACAGAGTGTATTTTAAGTCAGTCTGAGCTCTGCATGTCTTCCAGTGTTGATTTTGTGTCAGAAATTAGCCATTCTGGAAGCAGAAGGACATTTATGGAGAAACTAAATACAGCAGTGCTCCCCTTCCCTTGTTTCCCTTCTCCTCTGTTATTGGTTTGGCCCCATTTCTCTCCTCCTTCCTGGATTAATTACCTGGGTAATTCCCTCCCCATGTAACTCAGTGAAGTCACCGTGTGGATTAGCCAGCCAGGTTTGGCCACATCACAAAGTCACTGCAGGCATTTTGGCAAACGGAGGAGCAAGCGAAGGCCAGCATCAGTTAATATTCATATATTCTTGCACAGCAAGTGGATAAATCCACCCCAGAGACTTGAATGGTTTCCGACTTAGCTGAGAGAGGCCACAAAACCACTCAGCAGCCTCTCCAAGATGACATCTTTTAGATGTGTTGGGCTTCAGGCCCATCATCCCCAGTCAGTCTGCCGGTGGAGGCTGTGCGTGAGGGAAGTTTTAGTCCGAAGGCTAACTCTTACACAGTTTTTGCCTGAGATAGGATATTTCTGCAGAATGGAACCATGTGGGAGGCAATATGTTGTTGCTTTCTGTCTTCCTCTTACCCTGATCAACCTTTTAATGTGTCTCATATCTTCTCTCATGGTTATGTATAGCTAGATATTCCCATTGTATGGACATTGGTTGAAGAGGATGAAGCAAAATCTCTGGGCAACTGCAGTTTCCAGTCTTTGTGCCACCAAAAAAGAAGAAAAAAGTTACTTGTAAACTGCTCCATCTTTTATAGGGAAAATAACACCAACCTTACAGATCTGTAGCTTTTGTTTTAGTGCAGACGTTACTGAAACCCACAGCCAGTGGTGGTGCCTAGCCTCTGGAATCCACTTGGTGCTTCTGGTGGCTGCCCAGGGACTATGAGTAAAGGTTGAGTAGTTGTAGGCTTCTCCGTGCTTCTCCTCAGTTTCTTGGGCCTTTGTGTTCACTTTGTCTACCACACCATCCATGTCCCTAGAACATAGCCATATAGCCTGGAAAAAAACCTACAACAACCCAGTGATTCCAGCCATGGAAGCCTTCAACAATACATGTCCCCAGTACTTTGGAGATTAATTTTGCAGAATTGAGGTGGAGAGGGAAGGACAAGGCAGGATCATTTTGGAAAAGAGGGAAGTAAGGAGGTTGAAAGAAGAAAGCGCAAAAGCTGTGTTGCAGCTAAACATCAAAAAACCCAAGATTATGGCAACAGGAATGATTGACTACTGGGAAATAGAGGGAGAAAATGTGGAGGCCGTGACAGACTTTGTATTTCTAGGTGCAAAGATTACTTCAGACGCAGACTGCAGCCAGGAAAGCAGGAGACGCTTATTTCTTGGGAGGAGAGCAATGTCCAATCTTGATAAAATAGTGAAGAGTAGAGACATCACACTGGCAACAAAGATTCACATAGTCAAAGTAATTGTATTCCCCGTAGTCTCCTACGGTTGTGAGAGCTGGACCATAAGAAAGGCTGAGCGAAGGAAGAGAGATGCTTTTGAACTGTGGTGCTGGAGGAAAGTTCTGAGAGTGCCTTGGACTGAGAGAAGATCCAACCAGTCCATACTTCAAGAAATAAAGCCTGACTGCTCATTGGAGGGAAGAATAGTAGAGGCCAAGATGAAGTACTTTGGCCACATCTTGAGAAGACAGGAAAGCTTAGAGAAGACAATGATGCTGGGGAAAATGGAAGGAAAAAAGAAGAGGGGCCGACCAAGGGCAAGATGGATGGATGGCATCCTTGAAGTGACTGGATTGACCTTGAAGGAGCTGGGGGTGGTGACGGCCGACAGGGGTCTCTGGCGTGGGCTGGTCCATGAGGTCATGAAGAGTAAGAAATGACCGAACGAATGAACAACAAGAACAATAAAACTTGCCGGGGGAAAATGGCTCTAGCTCCCTTCCTACATCCAGGAGACTGTATCTCCCGTCCCTGTTCTGGTTTTGGTGGCCTCTGGCATGTGCCTACAAAGATGTAGAAATGCTCACAAACAATTGAGCCATTCGAAAGAGTGGAGGCCAGGATACAGAGTTCCTGCAGATCTGTTTCAGGAGTACCAGAAAGGTGGCAAATGGGCCAGACATGACTGATTCTTGGAGAAAATGGAATATGTAGCACAGTTTTGGCTGATGATAATTGTGAGTCACATAAAAAGAAAATTGCTGTGTCATTACCTTGTTGGGGAAATCTCCAAAACAGACAATGATGTAACAGGTTACAGGAAACAGGGAAGCTTCTGGGTATAATGCTGAGTAGTCCAGCAAAACAATTTGCCTTTGAAAAGAAGATGAACTGCATATCATTTGAGATCTGTAATTCGTCTTCCTTGTGCTGGGAATGGAGAAGCGTACCACACTTAGATGAGCCACAAATGGAGAAAAGAAGTGTACATGTGCTAAAATTATACTTCTGTATGATTTGGATGTCCCTAAGATGGACCAGCGGTGTGATAGCGGAGGGGTCGAGAACAGGGCCCCCCCAGATGATCTCAAATTCCGGGGTGGGATGTAGTGGGAGATACGTTCGGACAGATACACTGGACCGGAACTGTACAGGGTTTTGTAGGTCAAAACCAGCACCTTGAATTGTGCTTGGAACTGAACCGGCAGCCAGTGGAGCTGACACAGCAGGGGGGTGGTGTGCTCCCTGTATGTCGCTCCGGTGAGCAATCTGGCTGCCGCTCGCTGGACCAGTTGAAGTTTCCGAACAGTTTTCAAGGGCAACCCCACATAGAGCGCGTTGCAGTAGTCTATTCAGGATGTAACAAGAGCGTGGACCACTGTGGCCAGATCAGACTTCCCAAGGTACGGGTGCAACTGGTGCACAAGTTTTAGTTGTGCAAAAGCTCTCCTGGCCACCGCTGAAACCTGGGGTTCCAGGCTCAGCGATGAGTCCAGGATCACTCCCAAGCTGTGAACCTGAGTCTTAAGGGGGAGTGTAACCCCGTCTAACACAGGCTGTAACCCTATGCCCTGTTCGGCCTTACGACTGACCATTAGGACCTCTGTCTTGTCTGGATTCAGTTTCAATTTGTTAGCTCTCATCCAGTCCGACACAGCAGCTAAACACCGATTCAAGGTCTGGACAGCCTACTTGGTGACAGGTTTTAGATAAGAACTGCAGCAGTTGGATTCAAATGGCAGGAAAAGAAATTCCACCTAAACATTAGGAAGAGTCTTATGCTGGTAAAAACTGCTTGGCAGTGGAATAACATATTAAAATAGCATAAAAACAGCATAAACAATAATAAACATGAAAAGACATTCTACCCAAACATTAGGAAGAGCCTTATGCTGGTAAGAATATACTTCCTTGAATGACCATCTGTCAAGGGGGTGCTTTGAATGTCATTTTCCTGCTTCTTGGCAGAATGGGGTTGGCCTGGATGGCCCAAGACGTCTCTTCCAACTCTAGGATTCTATGAAGAGTGTTTTGACTGTGTCTTCCTGCATGGCAGAATGAGCCTGGACTGGATGGCTTTGGGGTCTCTTCCAGCTCTACGATTCTATGGATTCCCAGTTGTTACTTTTTTTTTTGTCGTGTCAGGAGTGACTTGAGAAACTGCAAGTCGCTTCTGGTGTGAGAGAATTGGCCGTCTGCAAGTATGTTGCCCATTTGACGCTCAGATGTTCTGATATTTTACCATCCTTGTGGGAGGCTTCTCTCATGTCCTCACATAATAATAATAATAATAATAATAATAATAATAATAATAATCATAATAATCATAATCATAATAATCATAATAATCATAATAATAATAATAATCAACCTTTATTTGTACCCTGCTACCATCTCCCGAAGGACTTGGTGCCGAGCCCAAATACATCAGTAAAACAACAACAACAGTACAACAATAAATAAACTCATAAACAAGCAGTAAACATCAACAATAACACCACGACGCATTAAAAGAACTTATGGCAGGACCAAGTGTAATAATTAAAATTGTTAAAAAATGCTGGGCATGACCAGGTGAAATAGGATAGGTATTTTGAAGATAGGTGGGGCGTGCAGACGATCCTAGATCTCTAATAAAGTGCATTCGGGACAAATTGCTTGGAGTTTCCTTATTCTGGGAAGGCATACTGGAACAACCACGTTTTCAAGCTCCTCCTAAAGACTGCCAGTGTTGGGGCATGCCTGATGTCCTTGGGGAGTGAGTTCCAGAGTCGAGGGGCCACCACCGAGAAGGCCCTGTCCCTCGTCCCCACCAATCGCGCTTGCGATGCAGGTGGGATCGCGAGCAGGACCTCTCCAGAAGATAGAAGACATCGTGTGGGTTTGTATACAGAAATGCAGTCATGCAGGTAGGCGTGTCCCAAACCATTTAGGGCAGCGTTTCTCAACCTGGGGGTCGGGACCCCTGGGGGGGTCGCGAGGGGGTTTCAGAGGGGTCACCAAATACCATCAGATAACACAGTATTTTCTGTTGTTCATGGGGGTTCTGTGTGGGAAGTTTGGCCCAATTCAATCATTGATTGGGTTCAGAATGCTCTTTGATTGTAGGCGAACTATAAGTCTCAGCAACTACAATTCCCAAATGTCAAGGTTGATTTTCCCCAAACTTCATCTGTCTTCACATTTGGGCATATTGAGTATTCATGCCAGGTTTGGTCCAGATCCATCATTGTTTGAGTCCACAGTGCTCTCTGGATGTGGTGAACTACAATTCCCAAACTTAAGGTCAATGCCCGCAAACTGTTCCAGTATTTTCTGTTGGTCATGGGAGTTCTGTGAACCAAGTTTGGTTTAATTCCATGATTGGTGGAGTCCAGAATGGTCTTTGATTGTAGGTTAACTATAAATCCCAGCAACTACAACTCCCAAATGAGAAAATAAATCTCCCCAACCCCACTAGTATTCAGATTTTGGGCGTATTGAGTATTTGTGTCAAATTTGGTCCAGTGAATGAAAATACATCCTGCATATCAGATATTTACATCATAACAGTAGCAAAGTTGCAGTTACAAAGTAGCAACAGCAACAATTTTATGGTTGAGGGTCACCACAACATGAGGAACTGTATTAAGGGGTCGTGACATTAAGAAGGTTGAGGAACACTAGTTTAGGACTTTGTAGGTAAGCACCTGCACCTTGAATTGGGACCGGAAAATGAACGGCAACCAATGGAGCTCCTTAAACAGGAGGGTTGACCTCTCCCACATGGGGAGCTTGAGCTGATAGAGGGAGCTCATCCACGCTCTCCCCGGTTTCGAACCTGTTGGTCTTCAGTCCTGCCAGCACAGGGGTTTAACCCACTGCGCCACTGGGGGTTCCATCCAGTTGTTTCTAAAAATAAGTGAACATGGATCTGCAAAATGATCACAGGTGCTATATGTGGCCTGCAGGCTTCACGACCCCCACCTCAACCTGAAATGTGAGCAAAGTGGCTGGGAGAGCTTTTGCGCAATTAAAACTTGTGCACCAGTTGCACCCATACCTTGGGAAGTCGGATCTGGCCACGGTGGTCCACGCTCTTGTTACATCCCGAATAGATTACTGCAACACGCTCTACGTGGGGTTGCCTTTGAAGACTGTTCGGAAAGTTCAACTAGTCCAACGGGCGGCGGCCAGATTACTCACCGGAGCGTCATACAGGGAGCATACCACCCCCCTGCTATGTCAGCTCCACTGGCTACCGATCCAGTTCCGAGCACAATTTAAAGTGCTGGTTTTGACCTACAAAACCCTTTACGGTTCCAGCCCAGCGTACCTGTCCGAACGTATCTCCTTCTACGTCCCACCTCGGAGTTTAAGATCTGCTGAGGGGGTCCTGCTCTCGGCCCCTCCTTTATCTCAAGCGAGACTGGTGAGGACAAGGGACAGGGCCTTCTCGGTGATGGCCCCTTGCCTGTGGAATGCACTCCCCGGGGATATTAGGACATCAACATCCCTCCTCTCCTTCAGGAAGAAGCTAAACACCTGGATGTGGGACCAGGCCTTCGGGTAGGCTGGCAGATGGACAAAGACAACCAATAATGACCAGAGTAGGAATGGACAACGACAATGCTAAATGGTTTACGGACTTGGATTTGGTGAACACTGACCACAAGATGCATTTTTAATTGCTGCTAGTCTACTGTCTGATTGTTTTAATCAGTTATAACTATGATATTATGTGTTAAATTTGTGTATTGTATATCGCATTGTATGTTGTAATTGTTAGGCATCGAATTTGTGCCTTTTGTAAGCCGCCCTGAGTCCCCCCTAGGGGGTTGAGAAGGGCGGGGTAGAAGCACCCCAAATAAATAAATAAATAAACGTCCACGTTGGGCCACCCTCTGCTCCTCTCGATGGCATTGCACAGTGTGCAGACCTCTGAAAAGCACATCCCTGCTCTCGTTCTCTCTCTCTCTCCCCTCCGTCTCCATAACCACAGCCAGCCCACCCACCCACCCCCATTTCCGACAGGGACTGTAAACTATCTTGTAAAAACCACTCAAAGGAACGTACACTTCTTTTCCATTTTCCGCAGGCAGTTGGCCCAAAGTCTTGGTCAGGCTGGTGAAATCGAGCCGGAAACGGAAGGCATCCTGACAGAATACGGGGTGGATTTCTCTGACTTTGCTCCAGAGGTCCTGCGATGCCTCCCCCAGAACCTCCCCTGGGTCATCCCTCCCGAGGAACTGGCCAAAAGGAGAGACTTAAGGTAATTCCCAATTATTTTTCCTGCTTCTGTCTTCCCCTCACCTGACTTGTCTTGGGATGGTGAACACACTGTGGGGGATTATTTGGGAAGGGGACCTCTTTGTCCTCTCTTCTGGCTTGGAGTGGAGCTGCCCTTTTGCCTTTTGGTTGTTTGTCTTCAAAGGACTTGTGAGGACAGCATACATATTTGAGCAAACGACTCAATCTTGGGAACTTCATTGCCTCTTTTTTAAAAAAATTATATTATTTTCCCCCACAGTGTATGAAATATTGCCGCATATTGGAATGCTGGGCTGCGGAGGGGTTCAGGCAGTACCTTTTTAATGGCTTTTGCGGCAAGCGCGACAGTAGGAGGCTTCCTTGTGGCGTGGATCCCTTTCATTGGGCACGTAGGGGAATAAAGCTGTCAGCTTCTCAGAAGACATTTTTATGACATATGCCTTCCCTCCAGTTTATGAAAGGAAGAAATAGAGCCAGGATCATTGACAGTCTTGGAAATCTCCAATCCGCTTGTGAGCTTTCGTGGATCGTGGGCTTTTCGCAGTGAAAACCATTGGCACTCTAGACTTCCTTTTGCTTCATAATACTGCGGAAGCACTGAATTAATAAAGTGCTGATGGATGACATCAAAGGTCACACATGGGGCCCACAAGTATTGGCCGTGCTCTTTAGGCCTACAGACACCCCCTCCCATCAGCTCTCCAGGCCTTGTGGCTTTGCTAGAGGACATGTGGGGTGTGTGCGCGCGTGCGTCAGGGATTTCTCCCCCTTTGCCTTTCTTGTCTATGCCACTACACAAGTGAAAACAATTCTGGGGAATGGGTTGTTGTAGGTTTTTTCGGGCTGTATGGCCATGGTCTAGAGGCATTCTCTCCTGACGTTTCACCTGCATCTATGGCAAGCATCCTCAGAGGTAGTGAGGTCTGTTGGAACTAGGAAAATGGGTTATATATCTGTGGAATGACCAGGGTGGGACAAAGGACTCCTGTCTGTTGGAGCTAGGTGTGAATGTTTCAACTGACCACCTTGATTAACAAGGTGGTCAGTTGAAAACATTCACACCTAGCTCCAGCAGACAAGAGTCCTTTGTCCCACCCTGGTCATTCCACAGATATATAAACCCTTTTCCTAGTTCCAACAGACCTCACTACCTCTGAGGATGCTTGCCATAGATGCAGGCGAAACGTCAGGAGAGAATGCCTCTAGACCATGGCCATACAGCCCGAAAAAACCTACAACAACCCAGTGATTCCGGCCATGAAAGCCTTCGACAATAAATTCTGGGGAATGTCGGCAATGGTGGTGGGCGGATGGATTACAGTTCCCTGATTCCACCAGTCAGCATGAATTTTTGTTGTCTCCAAAAGGTAACCATTCTATGTGAGGAGGACTATATAATAAAAAAAACAACTTTATTTATACCCCGCCACCATCTCCCCGAAAGGACTCGGGGCGGCTAACACGAGGCCAAGCCCAAACAAATTATTTATTTATTTACTTTACTTATATACCGCTGTTCTCAGCCCGGGGGCGACTCACAGCGGTGTACAACAGAGGAACAACAACATTCAAGACACAGTATAAAAACAATTCACAATCCAGCTTTATACAAAAACAACATAATTACTACAAAAACCATTCAGCGTCGTCTCATCGTCCAAACCACAATCCAATATCGTTTTCCGTTGTTCCGTTCCTATAGTCATTACCAATCATTGCACAATTACAATAAAGCAAAAGTACATAAGAAACAGACAATACATCCAATAAAAATGCTTAATATTTATTTATTTATTTATTTATTTATTTATTTATTTATTTATCGTGTCAGGAGCAACCAGACAGCTGTATTACATTTTTAACAAAACAAACAAACAAAACACAAAGTTTGCAAGCTTGGTAGTTGATTAAATGTCCTTTGACCAGTATCTGGCCACTTGGAGTGCCTCTGGTGTTGCCGCAAGGAGGTCCTCCATTGTGCATGTGGCAGGGCTCAGGTTGCATTGCAGCAGGTGGTCAGTGGTTTGCTCTTCTCCACACTCGCATGTCATGGATTCCACTTTGTGGCCCCATTTCTTTAGGTTGTCTCTGCATCTCGTGGTGCCAGAGCGCAGTCTGTTCAGCGCCTTCCAAGTCGCCCAGTCTTCTGTGTGCCCAGGGGGGAGTCTCTCATTTGGTATCAGCCATTGGTTGAAGTTCTGGGTTTGAGCCTGCCACTTTTGGACTCTCGCTTGCTGGGGTGTTCCAGCGAGTGTCTCTGTAGATCTTAGGAAACGATTTCTTGATTTAAGTCATTGACGTGCTGGCTGAAACCCAAACAAGGGATGAGCTGGAGATGTCACTGTCTCGGTCCTTTCACTATTGGCTGCTACTTCCCGGCGGATGTCAGGTGGTGCAATAACAGCTAAACAGTGTAATTTCTCCAATAGTGTAGGGTGCAGAACACTCCGTGATGATGCGGCATGTCTGAACATGAACATGAACCAACAGTGTGATGCAGCTGCTCAAAAAGCCAATGTGATTCTAGGCTGTATCACTAGGAGTATAGTGTCAAGATCGAGGGAAGTCACAGTCTCTCTCTGTTATGCTTTGGTCCGACCTCATTTGGAATAATCCCGTGTCCAGTTCTAGATGCCATAATATAAGAAAGTGCTTTGGTTGTGTTTTTTCCTGCATGGGAAGAAGGGGTTGGACTGAATGACCCTTGTGGTCTCTTCCAACTCTATATTTCTGTGATTGTATGATTGTGTAACTTTTGCCATTGCTTCCTGAAAGAAAGGGCTTGGGAGGAAACAGTGGGGTCATCACTGCACTTAAGGTACTGGTTGGCAACTATGGGAGCCAAAGGGTCTGCACTCTTTGCTGCCACCCCTAATGTGCTTGCTTAGGTGATCCCTTGTTGTCTGAGTAGGATTGTCTTTCAAGATCGGTGTACTGGCGGTGAGTCCGTAGGTGACTATGGAGCCCTATTGTTGACCTACATCTTCTCCCGCAGTGAGTGCATTGGTTTCCAGGTGGAAGGCGGTCCCGGTCAGGGTTGGCTTGATGCGTCTTCCTCTTGGCACGTTTCTCTCTTTCGCCCTCCATTCGTGCCTCTTCAAATTCTGCAGCACTGCTGGTCACAGCTGACTTCCAGCTGGAGCGTTCAAGGGCCAGGGTTAGGGCTTCCCAGTTCTCAGTGTCTATGCCAGAGTTTTGAAGGTTGGCTTTGAGCCCATCTTTAAATCTAGGGGCTGGAGGCGGGATTTTATCATAATTTCATCTCCCCAGGGCATTGTGGCCACAGAAGGGGCCTTTTTTCAAAACAGGACTTGACCAGAAGTCACTTTCAGTTTACTTTTGGTTTTAAAAAAATGTCTTCCTGGGCCTGAAATGATCCCAAGCATTTCAAATAAGGGATGGCCCACTTGTTATTTTGCTTTGTGTCTCATAATTTCATCATACCATCAACTCTACAAAATCCTTTCCTATAATTGGAGTCCATTGTTTTCACTATTATTTTTAAAGTAAGGTGTTTTTTTGTTGTTTATTTGTTCAGTCGCTTCTGACTCTTGGTGACCTTCTGGGCCATCCTATGCCAGAGCTATCTATTGGCCGTCGCCACCCCCAGCTCCTTCAAGGTCAAGCCAGTCACTTCAAGGATCCCATGCATCCATCTTGCCCTTGGTCGGCCCCTCTTCCTTTTTCCTTCCATTTTCCCCAGCATCACTATCTTCTCCAAGCTTTCCTGTCTTCTCATGATGTGGCCAAAGTACTCCATCTTGGCTTCTACTATCCTTCCTTCCAATGAGCAGTCAGGCTTTATTTCCTGAAGTATGGACTGGTTGGATCTTTTCGCAGTCCAAGGCACTCTCAGAACTTTCCTCCAAGACCACAGTTCAAAAGCATCAATCTTTCTTCTTTCAACCTTCCTTATGGTCGAGTTCTCACATCTGTAGGTGACTACGGGGAATACCATTGATTTGACTATGCGGATCTTCGTTGCCAGTGTGATGTCTCTACTCTTCACTATTTTATCAAGATTGGTCCTTGCTCTCCTCCCAAGAAGGAAGTGTCTTCTGATTTCCTGGTTGAAGAATAGAAATTAATTCATCGGCTTTTCTTCTTCAGGGCATCTTACATTAAAGTGCATGGAAAAAAGTGGGGGGGGGGGGGGGGGGGGGGGGGGGGGGGGATGAAAGAAAACTCAGCAATTCCCTGAACACTTCTGATCTGGTTGTTTAGAGCCCATATTTCACAACCAAACAAAGCCACCGGAAGTGGAAAGGTCCATATTTGCATTTGTGGTTTTAGAAAGCACGAGGAGGGCTCGAGGCGTGTGGAAGCAGCAGCCGTGATCGTTGAGCACAGAGCCTCTTCCTTTCCTTGGCCTGAATTCTTTAATTGCCCCTTACTGCCCATTTTTGTGGGAGAGTTCAGGTGGAAAGCAAAGAGGTTGAATGGAAATGTTAAGATGCTAAATCCCAGCAATGGTTGCAGGAGTGACGCCAGAGAGGGAAACGCAAAGCAAACCTGAGAAAAGTCCCAGGCCGCATCAGCATTTTCTCCCAAATGTTTTTAATTTCATTCATATCTTTGGGTTTCTCCTGCTGCCGAATTGGGATCAGTAACCCAGCCAGGAAAGTCCTCCCGGAGCGCAGGGAAAAGAAAACCCCAAATCCTGGAGAGAGACAAGAGATTAAAGGGTCATTCTGGGTTGAGCTGCGCTGCCTTTTCCATGTCTCCTATTGTGGGAATGACGGTGGAAAAAACCCTCTCAAATGGTCTTTCCTGAAAAGGGCAAAATCCTTGCTTGAAAAGCGCAGGCTTGCGCTGTCTAACAAGGCAGATCTTTCTCACTTCCCCATCTTCACTTGCGAGCAAAAGACTGGTGACCTCCTCTGGACCGTTGCAAATGTGAAACTTGGCACCGAAATCTGCTAGCACTCAATTTTCCAGTTGCTTTCTCCATCTCTGTCTCTCCTTCGTTTTGCAAATTCTTCCCCCTTTCCCTCTTTTCTT